AAAATATTATTTGTTATTGTTGTAAAGATAACGGGATGATTCCTTTCCCATGAGAAAGAAAAATCCTGACAAGTTAAACTAACTGTTGATTGTTTAGATTTAGTTGCCATGCCAATAGCTTACTAGAAGCAAGATAGTATGTAATTTAAAAAAAATTACCCAGTAAACAAACTCTTTATCCACAGAGTCCAATAATTCAGGAGTTTGAAAGCCCTTTAATCAAGAGAGAAGCGAGAGATGTGTTCTACAGCACCATTCCCAAACTGGAAGTGCAAGGAGCACCAAAGTTGAGTTCAAGTCTAGGGAATATATTCACATTTTCAAACCCTCAAGAATCTGTATCTCTGAATCATAATCTTAACCATTCCCCCGCTGCAATTATGAGATTAACAGTATTCCCTTCTCTAGTTCCTTGGGGAGGTGTAAGTTCTATTGGAAACATAACAAGCCAGTATTAAAGCATGCTTACCAGACATTCAAGGTTATGATAGGAGATTTATAATTCTTCATCAGCTGGATTACAGATCATTTGCATAGAACAGTCATGGGTTCAGTTCTCACAGTCAGCAACTACTCAGGGTGAACAGTGCTATACAAAGACCTTGCTGGGTCAAATCACTGCAGTGTGATTCAGTTTCTAGCCAGAAGAGTTCCATCAAATATGATAGCATTGGTGGTGTTGGTATTAGTGCTACTTCCACTGGCAGTGTGCAAGATTCCTAGCTTTAGATGTAATGTCAGTGAGCCTCTACCTATTCATCATAAGTATTACAAGTCTGGAGATTTCATAATGGCTGGCATCATTTCTCACACTTACCGTTTTTCAAATCCTACTTCCTATGAAGAACGTCCTTCTTCTGCACTCTTGGGTGATTTTGTGTAAGGCACTTAGTTTTCTTAATCCTGGCACATGTGTTTCCCAAGTATGTTTTATGCTGTGTCTCTATTGGTGTGTGTTGGGGGGAATTTTGTTGATGCAGGTTTGTTTTAGTCATTTATGAGAAAATAATGGATACCTTTTCTCTTTTCTTCTTTAAGAATGGTGGCAGACTCTGATCATGATGAATTCTATCTTCAGATCCATATTTCTGCTGGTTCCAATCCTTATACACTAATTGTTTAAAAATGTGAGGGTCAGGGTTTTTCAACATAACAGTCATTTGTTTGTGATGTCCCTCCACATTTTGCAGGTTTCCATCCTGGGACATTTGGAAGGGAAGCAGATTTGGAATTCTTTATACTGAGATGGATCTGCAAATTATTACCTTATTTCCTGCCACCCATACTTCTGGGTGATAGATACCTTTGAATTTTAAGAGAATATTTTGAAGGAGTAGAAACCAGTATGTGTGCACATTCTAACAGAATTTACTTCCCAATGTTGTAAACTGAATGAAGGTATTTTTTGTGAGACTGTCTCCTCATTGCTGTCCCCCTAATCTTTGTGTGCTCCATGCAAATGGTCTAAACATCTTATCCTGCAGAGGTTGCAGGATGGAGAGGATAAAAGGAGAGGCAGTTTTAAACTTGCCGTTATATACAGTATTATCAGTCTTAATCTGGATGTTCTGCACAAGTTGAAGAATGAGAGAAGAATAAGAGGGAGGGGAAGGTTCAAAGTTGGTATCTTAAATACAATATTCATAATCTGGGTGATCACCATTTATTTGAGGGTGACAAAGGGAGAAGATGAGCCATCCACTATGATTGTCATGGATCCTGTAGTTGTTGCTCTTTTTCCTCTAAAGAGAAGATGGCCCATAACAGAACCAAGAAGACATTCATAGAAAGTCTTCCAAAAGAAACCAGAGTAGTTTTGTAACCTTCCCAAAAGTTAAGGTCATGGGTATTAAGGAGCTAAATTTTGCAACCACATTTGGACCGCACTTAGCATTTCAACAAAGCAATGGGTTCCCTTGCCAAAGCTCTGTATTTTTATCCATTTCTTAGCCACACTCCAAGAAATCGATGTTATTGGAAATAGGAGTTAGGATGGTGACTCCGTCTATTTTCAGTGCTCAGCAAATCACTTTGAAATCTGGAATGTATGAAAACCAATGCAAGAAGAACATGAGTGTCGTTGATTCACTGGTTCAACAAACGAGATTTTGTGACCATTTCAATTTTGAGTCCCATACTGAAAAGTTAGGTCTACCTCTCTGGCAAATTTCTGTTTCTAAAATAATTCAGAATCTTCTTTTAAAGTTTTGAAACTTCTATGAAATCCTGCAAAACTGTTTTCTAAAAAAGAGTGAAAAAGTCCTACTAGACTCTTCAGAAGTGCTTCTGCTGTTCAGGTTCACTATAAACTGGACAAAGTGTTTCAGAAATGAAAGAATAGAAAACTATTCTGAGAAAAAGCACCAAGGGATATCTGCAAAAAAAATTCACACTTGTTCTGTTTTAATCTGATTGAAGCATATTAGCATTCTGAAAAATCTTCAGAGAAGTCACAAGGTTATTCCAGGACAAGGGCCAAGCAAACAATTTAATTTCAAACAAGATCTTTGCTAAAACAACATTTATAGCTGAATTTCTCTCATCATAGGGTCCTGAAACAGCACTACCAACATATCTTGGCTTTGGAATTTGCTTTAAAGGAGATAAATGACAATACCAAACTCTTATCTAACATCACCCTGGGCTTCAGTATCTACAATAATGATTTCAGTGCCAGTGTAATTTATCTTGCTTCCATGGAGCTTCTGTCCACAAAAGACAAATTCCTCCCAAATTACAAATGTGATGCCCAAAATAATCTGGTAGCAGTTATTGGGGGACCTAACTCTGATGTCAGTCTCAACATGGCAACCATTCTCTGCATGTACAAGATCCCACAGGTAGGCAGTGTGGATAGACCTTAAGGATTTAAGAAGGGAGAATCTCTTCTATCAAATTTGAAGTATTTTTGTGGCCAAGTTATGGGAAAGAAGTGAACAAAATAGAGAGAAATCCAAAGACTTAACTTAAATAGAAACTCTTCCTTCCAGGAAAGAATTTATTAATTCCATTTTGACTTGTCAATTCCTTTCTTCATGAAGGTAGATTATGTCATGTGAATAGGAGCAGCTTTTTATGATTTGCTAGCCACATTCTTGTAAATAAATTCAAGCAACTGGGAGGGGGGCAGGAGGAAGACATGCTTTACACAAGACAATGCTAAAATTTGGTGCATTGGTTTCATGCCATTTGAAACAGAAATACATGATAATTAAATGTGAACGATAAAACAAAAAGTAAAAATAGAAGAGAGAATTTAGATTTTAATTAGATGATCCATCAGCAACATGTATGGACAAACACCCATGGACATACTGGTTTTATTTTGGAAATATCTTTTCCGGTGTTCCCTTTTTATTTAGCTGACATATGGCTCTGCTCTGATGATGGAGAACCAGACCCAAGGAGTTTTTTTCCAGCAGATGTTCCCAAGTGTGGCCCTCCAATATGAGGGTATTCTGAAGTTATTGCTGTATTTCAAATGGCGATGGGTTGGAGTGGTTTATCTGAATGATGTTAATGGAGAGAGATTCATACAGGAAGTGCTTCCCATGTTCTCCAAGAGTGGTATCTGCTTTGACATCATACAAAGATTCCCACAGCTAACTTTTTCTGTATTTGCTGATCAAATGGTGAAGGAGGGCTTTGAAACATTCTTGGGTATCATGAAAAGCACTGCAAATGTATTGATTGTACATGGTGAAATCCAGACCATCATTATTTTGAGAATGGTACTTCACTTCTCGGAATTTGAGAATATACCAATGGTAACAAAGGTCTGGATTATGACAGCTCAAATGGACTTCACATCACTTCCCTTTCAAAATGATTGGAATTTAGACTTCATGCATGGTGCTCTATCACTGGCAATGCACAGAAAGGAATTGTTTGGCTTCCAGAACTTTGTTCACGCCAGAAATCCTAAAGGGACAGGAGAAGACGGTTTCATCAAAGCTTTTTGGGAACAAGCTTTTAACTGTGTGTTTCCCATTTCTCTGGCAGACCAAGAAGAAAGCAAAATCTGCACTGGGGAAGAAAAACTAGACTCTCTTCCTATAACTGTTTTTGAAACACATCTGGCCGCTCACAGCTACAGCATCTATAATGCTGTCTATGCCGTAGCTCACGCTCTGCATGATGTGCATTCAACCAAGTCCGTGCACAGAGCAAGAGCACAGGGAGGAATATGGAACCTGCTGAATCAGTCACTCTGGCAGGTAATGGTATTCCAAGCTGAAATGTATATGCCTGTTCACCACATCTGTAAGAGTGGAAATCTAGGTTATATACTGTCTTTTTACATATATTAGTATTTCTTTAACCTAGATAAAGCTTCTGGGAGATAAGAGAGAGAGAGAGAAAGAGAAAGAGAGAGAGAGAATCTCAGATGTGAAAATTTGCTCCATTAGCTCTTTTTGAATATCACATTCGTATTTTTTCATTCTTCCTGATTTCAGTTCCACCGCTATCTGAGAAGCGTTTCATTTAACAACTCTGCTGGCGAAAAGGTTTCTTTTGATGAAAATGGTTCATTAATAGCAGGATTTGACATTTTAAATTGGATCACTTTCCCAAACCAATCCTTTCAGAGAGTAAGAATTGGCAAAATAGAACCCCCAGCTTTTTCTTTAAGAATGTTAAACATTCATGGAGATAATATTGAATGGCCAAATAGATTCAACCAGGTAAGAACTGAACTCAATTTGTGAAATTGTAAGTGATTTTCTGATGTTGAAAAAAGTGCAGGTTATTCAGCCCCTGAAGTAACTGATCTGTCATTGGATAATTCTTTGAATTTATCTCACTTATTTTCTCTAGATATTTCAAAATTCTACTTTTGTTCATTCTAGCCTCCCAATGTAAAGACATCTCTAGGGCCACTTCCTTAGGTGACTTGTCTTATCTTAGCCAATTCAGTCCATATTAGCTGGGAATGCATGATATGTGAAGCATTCAAGCTATAGTTTATAAATCACAATGGCAAAAAAAATCAACCAATCACATTATGCCAGCTACTAGTTTGTCCTCTATACCTATCATACAAAAACAAAACAAAATTTAGAAAAAAAACAGAGCTAATAGCTATGAAAAACCATGATGTGAAACAACTGAGTAGAAATAACATGAGGTGGTGGGCATGGTTGCCAAAGCTTACATCATATTTGTAAAAGAGTGAAACTGCTATATATCAGTCCGCAAATGCTCTTGAAAAGTCATGCTAGTATGCTATTTCTTAGCCCATTTCATAAAGTAATTTTCAAAAATTGTAAATCACTTACCCTTTGCATTTATGAACAGGCATGGCCCCTTTCTCTCTGTAACAACAAATGTCATGGAGGCACCAGTAAGACAAAGATAGAAGGGAAGCCAAACTGTTGCTACAGTTGCCTTCCATGCCCTGAAGGGAAAATGTCAAACCAGACAGGTAAGAGATACGATACAGAGAGGTTTTCAAAATATTGGCTGTGATCTTGAATTCCACAAGATCATTCAAAATGTGGGGGTGATTAGGATTAGGGAAGGGAGGAAAAAACATGGTCTCATGGAGTAATCTCTGTGTTCT